GCCGCGCTTACTGTCCATGTTTCGCACCCGTACAACGCCGTGCTTAACCGTAATAATATTCTTATGTAATTGAAATTTGCTAGCACTACTATCACCTTATTTTCAGTGCAACAAATTTTGTAATTAATCTGGGATCGATAACCACAGACAATGAAGAACTAGGCCGTGTGACAGTGTATACTAATAAGTCGATTGTACACGAAAATTACGACAATAGATATCTTAATAATGATGTCGCACTTATTGATTTGGGTGTAGACATAGGATCAAATGGTATGATGGATTTTGATATTTTTATTTCAATTTTATACGAATATTATAAAAGAAATAAAAATTTTTATTCGGTAAAATGAAATTAGATCTGATGTTATCAGCATGCGAGAATTTAGAGAATTATCAGAGCTTACGATCATGTTCTTTTTAGAATTCTTTGTCAAGAAAAAATCAGTCAGATCTATAATCTTTGTTTCACTGATAGAAAGCCGACTCAGCACTCATGAATGCCTTTTCTCAATAAAAATCAAGATTGTTAAATTAAAACGTAAAGTGCCTTTATCAAAACTAATTGTTCAGATTGTTATTGTATTTGTTATAGAGTATTTTCAATTTGCAAAATGCTCACGCACCTACAGTAAGATTGACCTTTATACATTTGTTCAATTTCCATTTCTTTATCATTTTTAAATGTAAGATACTATAAAAACAAAGTCAAGTTTAGTGTAAAAAGAAAAGGTTTTCTGTAATTACAAGGTTGCGGTGGACAGCTTCTTAGTCATCGGATGTTGTTTTAAAATCAATGTTAGTTTTTTCTCATAATTTAGACAATAATTTTTGAATTTTTGGATGAGGTTAGTCACCGGCAACGTATGACTACCCTCATCTAAAAATTCAAAAATTAATTGTCTAAATTATGAGAAAAAAACACTGATTTTAAAACAACATCCTTATGAATATATATTTTATTAATGACTTTACAGTTGTGAGTTCAGTTAAAAAAAAATGCCTATCATGGGTTTAAATAACATATCAAATCAAATATAGAGTCCACCCCTATCCTAAACTTTACTGAATTCTTTGGGACCCTGAGGAGACCCTATTCTAAAAGTCAAAACGTTGCTTGTTAATTACTAGTTTAGTTTCTAATTTGACAAAGAATTTTCACTGCACTAACAGTCGTAGGCAGATAGTAGTTTCAGAATCTACTACTTCATTTATAAAAACAGCAAATCAGTAATAGAAAAAACTGTTTCCAATTTACGGGACATTTTCTTTTAGATTACATCAAGCCAATCCATTTACCTTCGAAGGGAGAAGTTGTTGGGGTAAATGAACAGCTTGAAGTAAGCGGATGGGGAATAACCAACGATTCAGGTAATTGTAAATAAAAGGATAGCTTGTGAACCCTATTAAAATGACTCCTTTTGAACATGTCCATCAGGGGCTTACATGTGGCGCGTGACGCGTGACGTTACACTTTTTGGTTTTTCCTTCCTAGTGTCGATAAAGAATTTTAACTTAAAATAATAAACAACGTACCACTAAAATTCTGTTTTATCCTTTTTTTTATAGGTACAGTGGTGAACCGCGATTTAAATTTCGTAAAACTCTACAGTATTAGCAACGAGGAATGTTTGAATTCATTTAGCCCAAGATTTGTTATTGAAAGCACTCTGTGTGCTGTAGGAAATACTACTGAAAGCCCATGTAGCGTAAGTATAAACAAAATCCCGAAAACACCCCCACGTCATATTTCACCTAAGACTGACTATTATCATCAAAATTCTTTAGTTAACTTGTATTTGTACTTTAGGGTGACAGTGGTGGCGGTCTCGTTAAGCGACAGAATGGAAAATCGATACATGTTGGAATTACAAGTTTTGTTAATGATGCCGGTTGCTCTCTTGGCATTCCCACGGGATACTCCCGCACTGAGTCTTATTTGGATTGGATATCTAAGCATACAGGCATTAAAGTGTAACTTTGTATGAAATAAAATCAACTAAATGCATGTTTTTTTTTTTCGTTTATCTGTTACAATAAATAATAAGTTGCTTAAAAGGAGTAAAACTGTAAATATACAAAAACGCGCACATAAATTTTCGATCTGTTAAAACATTATTCGGAATGTTTTAAGGCAGGAAACCCATATAAAAAAGTATGTAGAATTCAGTGGTGGTATCAGATTTGAGATGCAGTCTGATATAGTTAAACTACTCCTTAATTGATTACTTAAAAAGCATAAAAACTAAAATACAAAAACGCGCACAAAGATTTTCGATCTGTTGAAACATTATTCTGAATGTTCTAAAGGATGCAAAATATGTAAAAATTCAGTGGTGACATCAGATTTGAGGTGAGGTTTGACATAATTAAGCAACTCCTTAATTAATTGCTTAAAGGGCATAAAAATTACAAATACAAAATAAAAAATAAATCAATCACAATAACCCACGCATTTGACAATTACCAAAAACAAAAAGAAAAAGGTACAAAATTGTCTCCAATTCCAATCAGTCGATCATCATAATTTCCCCCTCAGTCAATTTACAACCGTAAAAAAAATCTTCAGGACACCAATCATGCTGTCCACTAAATAATCAAAATTAATATACGAAACATAACGCTTGCATAAAAAAACTAACCAGCAAATTTTAAGAAAGAATCCTTAACTGTCCCGTATTTGTGGCATATATAAGCCCTTGTCCGGATATAGGGAGCCACCGTATGCAGTTGAGACTCATAAAGTTATTATCNAACCCTGAAAATACTTCTAAACGAGATAAAGAAACGCTGATAGTTATTAATAAAAGTCAGTATAGGTACACATATTAAAAATAAACAAAAAAAACAATCTAGGCAATTAAAATTGATTCTAGATTCTACACGTAAATGCAAACCCTTAATTTCCTAAATTTTTTTTGTTTACTCATATTCACACTAATAGAAATAAATGGCACCTTTAAAGTTCGATTTCCAAATAAGTTTATAAAATTTTAAAACAAATGTTTGTGAAAAAAAGCAAAACCATCCCAGTAACCAAGGGCCCCCCATTTATCGTTTAATCCGCAACCACCTACGAACTTCCATATTACGCGTAAGCGCAATGAAAGCTGTAAGTAGCTGAAGATTAACCGATAATGAGCGTCAGCCTGGCCCAGCCGGATGATTAGTAATATACGACGTCTAGGCATATCTCTCCAGCTACTTCCTGAACCCTTTTGTACACCTATGGCCACTCAGTGCACGGGCAGTACAATAACCTTCGAGATATAACCCTATTACCATCGATGTAACCAACTAGCCGTTCTCTTATACCTTTCGCGCGGCTTAAAAGTAGTGTGAGCGCTAAACTTTAAATAATTTTACCTTCTCAATTTTACAAAAAATTAAACTTTTCACTTTATAAATATTAACCAAAGAATGAAATGAAACGATTTGTAGAACGAATCTTCCTTATTATAAATAAAACTGTGTAAAACAAATGCTAATCTTAAATAAACAGATTACCGCCATCAAAGTAAAATAATTAGCAAAATAGTCTAAAAATGTATATGAATAGGCCCAAAACCAGGAAAATTTAAAAATACCTAATAACTAAATCTAATTTAGTTATTCGTAAGTAATATATCAAAATTTCTGACCCTGATAATCTGGAATATTCTATGTATTGCTGATTTTAAAACGAACCATTCCTTTGTTTTCATATATTCATAAAAGGAAAAAAGCTTATCGAAAAGGATAACGAAATTTTGAGAATAAAAATCAAATTTAAAAGACTCACCGAAAGATAATTTATGGTCACCGTTAATTTTCAATCACAAAAACTATAGGTTTATATAAACAGCACTGATTGCTGGATTTTTCCATGGAAAACAATATTTCACTTGATAACACGATTTTCTTTCTCATAACCGTTTAACGAAAATAAAATGTGTTCCACCGATTTTATTAAATACATTACTATCCGGACCGAGACAAACTGTTACAAATTTTCGAAAATCATTAATAGAATAAATATTGCAAACGCGAACACGCTCAAACCAATAACAACATCCAGTTATCGCGTAATCATTCTATAATTTTCCGGTACCTATAAGGTCGTACCAAATCGTACCTTCAGAAATGACTAATGGAGGTGGAAAAGAGCTGGCTTTATCGAAGGTCGAACTACGGAGGGCATTCAAATTTTGAAATTATTTTATGTTACTATACTACCTGCTTAAATAAAAAAAATAGTTTTAAAAAAGCGATCGTCAAATTTCAAGGAACTCAAGGGGATGTACCGACCTACAAGAGGCTGCAACCTGTAAAAAAATGCATACAATTTGATGGTACAAACAGTTATCGAGTGCGGTTTCAAAAAAATACAGTTAAATAAAGGAAACAGTTTAATTCAAAAAAAAAAGCGCTGGTTAAATTTCAAGAAAATAAAAAGAATAAACTAAGGCTAAACGTATGTAAAAAAATGGTGTCAACAGTTTTCTAGGGCGATTCAGCAACCCAGTAAGCCACTGCTGCTTGTAAAAATAAAGAATAGTTTAAACCTAAAAAACCGCTACTTAAATTTCGAAGAGATAAAAAGGATATACTAAGCTACAAAATAGTTTAATTATAAGAAAGCGCTCGTTAAATTTTGAGGAGATACAAAGGATATATTAAGATACAAATGGCTAAGGATATGTAAAAAAGTGCGTAGAATTTAATAGTGCCAACAGTTTTCGAGAGCGACTTCAAAAAAATGCAGTCCGGCACGGCTATTCGCTAATATAAAGAAAACAGTTTAAACATAAAAAAGCGCTCGTTAATTTTCGAGGAAATAAAAAGGATATACTAAAATAAAAAAGGCTGTAGATATGTAAAAAAGGGCGTAGAATTTAATGGTACTAACAGTTTTCAAGAGCGACATAAAAAAAATGCCGTCCGGCACTGCTATTCGCTAATATAAAGAAAACAATTTAAACATAAAACTTACATTTCGAGGAGATAAAAAGGATATATTAAGGTACAAAAGACGAAGGATGTGTAAAAAGTGCGTAGAATTTAATGGTGTCAACAGTTTTCGAGAGCGACTTCAAAAAAATGCAGTGCGGCACGGCTATTCGCTAATATAAAGAAAACAGTTTAAACATAAAAAAGCGCTCGTTAATTTTCGAGGAAATAAAAAGGATATACTAAAATAAAAAAGGCTGTAGATATGTAAAAAAGGGCGTAGAATTTAATGGTACTAACAGTTTTCAAGAGCGACATAAAAAAAATGCCGTCCGGCACTGCTATTCGCTAATATAAAGAAAACAATTTAAACATAAAACTTACATTTCGAGGAGATAAAAAGGATATATTAAGGTACAAAAGACGAAGGATGTGTAAAAAGTGCGTAGAATTTAATGGTGTCAACAGTTTTCGAGAGCGACTTCAAAAAAATGCAGTGCGGCACGGCTATTCGCTAATATAAAGAAAACAGTTTAAACATAAAAAAGCGCTCGTTAATTTTCGAGGAAATAAAAAGGATATACTAAAATAAAAAAGGCTGTAGATATGTAAAAAAGGGCGTAGAATTTAATGGTACTAACAGTTTTCAAGAGCGACATAAAAAAAATGCCGTCCGGCACTGCTATTCGCTAATATAAAGAAAACAATTTAAACATAAAACTTACATTTCGAGGAGATAAAAAGGATATATTAAGGTACAAAAGACGAAGGATGTGTAAAAAGTGCGTAGAATTTAATGGTGTCAACAGTTTTCGAGAGCGACTTCAAAAAAATGCAGTGCGGCACGGCTATTCGCTAATATAAAGAAAACAGTTTAAACATAAAAAAGCGCTCGTTAATTTTCGAGGAAATAAAAAGGATATACTAAAATAAAAAAGGCTGTAGATATGTAAAAAAGGGCGTAGAATTTAATGGTACTAACAGTTTTCAAGAGCGACATAAAAAAAATGCCGTCCGGCACTGCTATTCGCTAATATAAAGAAAACAATTTAAACATAAAACTTACATTTCGAGGAGATAAAAAGGATATATTAAGGTACAAAAGACGAAGGATGTGTAAAAAGTGCGTAGAATTTAATGGTGTCAACAGTTTTCGAGAGCGACTTCAAAAAAATGCAGTGCGGCACGGCTATTCGCTAATATAAAGAAAACAGTTTAAACATAAAAAAGCGCTCGTTAATTTTCGAGGAAATAAAAAGGATATACTAAAATAAAAAAGGCTGTAGATATGTAAAAAAGGGCGTAGAATTTAATGGTACTAACAGTTTTCAAGAGCGACATAAAAAAAATGCCGTCCGGCACTGCTATTCGCTAATATAAAGAAAACAATTTAAACATAAAACTTACATTTCGAGGAGATAAAAAGGATATATTAAGGTACAAAAGACGAAGGATGTGTAAAAAGTGCGTAGAATTTAATGGTGTCAACAGTTTTCGAGAGCGACTTCAAAAAAATGCAGTGCGGCACGGCTATTCGCTAATATAAAGAAAACAGTTTAAACATAAAAAAGCGCTCGTTAATTTTCGAGGAAATAAAAAGGATATACTAAAATAAAAAAGGCTGTAGATATGTAAAAAAGGGCGTAGAATTTAATGGTACTAACAGTTTTCAAGAGCGACATAAAAAAAATGCCGTCCGGCACTGCTATTCGCTAATATAAAGAAAACAATTTAAACATAAAACTTACATTTCGAGGAGATAAAAAGGATATATTAAGGTACAAAAGACGAAGGATGTGTAAAAAGTGCGTAGAATTTAATGGTGTCAACAGTTTTCGAGAGCGACTTCAAAAAAATGCAGTGCGGCACGGCTATTCGCTAATATAAAGAAAACAGTTTAAACATAAAAAAGCGCTCGTTAATTTTCGAGGAAATAAAAAGGATATACTAAAATAAAAAAGGCTGTAGATATGTAAAAAAGGGCGTAGAATTTAATGGTACTAACAGTTTTCAAGAGCGACATAAAAAAAATGCCGTCCGGCACTGCTATTCGCTAATATAAAGAAAACAATTTAAACATAAAACTTACATTTCGAGGAGATAAAAAGGATATATTAAGGTACAAAAGACGAAGGATGTGTAAAAAGTGCGTAGAATTTAATGGTGTCAACAGTTTTCGAGAGCGACTTCAAAAAAATGCAGTGCGGCACGGCTATTCGCTAATATAAAGAAAACAGTTTAAACATAAAAAAGCGCTCGTTAATTTTCGAGGAAATAAAAAGGATATACTAAAATAAAAAAGGCTGTAGATATGTAAAAAAGGGCGTAGAATTTAATGGTACTAACAGTTTTCAAGAGCGACATAAAAAAAATGCCGTCCGGCACTGCTATTCGCTAATATAAAGAAAACAATTTAAACATAAAACTTACATTTCGAGGANCTACCTACTTATAAAAATAACAAATTCATAATAAGAAGAAACCGTTTTCATTTTACGAAACGCTTGTTTTCAAGATCACATCAAGCCAATCCGTTTACCATCGAAGGGGGATGTTGTTGGCGTAAATAGACAGCTTGAAGTAAGCGGATGGGGAATAGTTAGCGATTCAGGTATAAATTTAAAAAACAACAAATAAAATACCAATAAAGAACTGATTTAAACTTTTATTATAGGCACAGTGGCGAGTCGCAATTTAAATTATGTTCAACTTCACAGTATCAGCAATTCAGCATGTGCGCGTTTGTATGGATCAAGTGTCATTGTTTCAAGTACCCTATGTGCATTAGGAGAAACCATTGAAAGCACTTGCAGTGTAAGTTAAACCAAAGTACCGCCTAGCCCATTCAAATGTACAAAAATATAGCCGAACGTTACATTTTGGGTAGCGCAAGATTTTTTTATATTTAAGGGGAACTGATAGGAGTATAAAACTCAGTTTTCGGGGTTGAAAGTTGCCCTCACGCCCATTTGGCACCTTTCTTACAAAATGGAGGGTAAACGTTAGTCTCCAAACTTTCTTTGGTACTTCTTTTTTTAGAGAATCGAATTATCTACAATTTTGAGTCAGATTTTTATTAATTTGGACCAGAATTGTAAAAAATTTAATTCTCTACAGAAAAAAGTATTTAAGAAAAGTGGTGAGATTTGTGGTTCTCAAAATCTGCTACACCCTGCTATAGTTGAAGCAATTTACTGTTTTATTATTTATATTTTAATCATGTTTCATCAAAACGCAACTACAATTAGCTTCAATATCTACGTCGAACAATAATTAACCGACTCATTTCATCATCAAAATTTTTTGGTCAATTTATACTACCCTGTTTGATTTAATCCTAATACTCTGTGTACGTATGTAGGGTGACAGTGGTGGAGGTCTTATAAAACGAGAGAACGGAGAAGCCACGCATGTTGGGGTTGTAAGTTTTGTAAATGACGCTGGTTGTTCACTTGGAGCCCCCTCAGGATACGTCCGCACTGAGTCTTATTTGGATTGGATTTCCAGCCATACAGGCATCCCAGTCTAACTTTGTCATTTATTAATGATATAATTGTTTTATAAATTACCATAAAATGCATAAAATAAAATCGAATAATGCACCTGTTATTTTTTTTCTCCGGTTCATATGTTGTATAAACGTTGTTATTATTATCTATTACAAAAAAGAAAAATAACTTGTAAAAGACTTACCTAATGTACACATTTTCGATGGTAGTTTCTTCATAAATCCTACTGCAAAGCTCGTCACTCTATAAGCACTGCACAACACTGATTGCTAATGTACCAAATTGTATTTTAATAAAACAATTTACACTAATTTTACTTACAAATTAACACAGTTACAATACTCGACAAGAAATCGGCGTTTATAATGTTCTGTTATAGCTATGCCCATTGTGCCTGGCACTTGCTCATCAATCAACCAAGGTCACTGCTTTTTTTACTGATATGCTAGGAATTTTATCAGATGTATTATTCCAGCGTGAATTACTTTGTTAGAAATTACAATAGAGATTAATTAATTTGTAATAAAATTTGAATTAAAAAACATATTTAGACTGCTTAAATCTGTTGCATCTTCATCTGAATTATCATATAATCAGTAATTAGAAAGAAATTAATGAGGCAGGAAGTTAATCATTTTAATTTTTTCGGATACGTAAAAGTGCGCAAGGAATTTAATGACCCGTGAATTTTTTAATTAATATTATTAAAGCTAATTAAACAAATATTAAAGAACGAAAACGTTGAATTAACAAAAATTATTTACTGTTAAAATAATTCAATTACAATTTATAGTCAATAATTGAGGAACAATTTAATCGAAAAAGTTATTTTCAACAACATATCTGACGCTCTGTAAAATAATATTTCTCTCGTGTCGTATTTCTTTTGCTAAAAGTCTTTCTAAAAGTGTCACTCTTCTTTTTTTATAAACTGCACTGGTCACTTTATTTAAGTTGGATGAAGTTGGTTCTGATCCAGTTTCTTTTCTCTTGGCGATTTTCTTTTGAGGTAAAACGTTCTTTTTTCTTGTTCTCTTCCTTTTTCTACTCCTTTTTTCATCTTTCAATGAGCATTCAACAGATTTCGTTACGTTTTCTTCTACTGGCGGATGTTCGCGAATTATTTTTTCTTCAATTGGACCCTCGTCGTCACTTATTGTTTCAACATTAGTATCTACTTTATTTTTATCAAATGTTTTTACAATTTCCTTTTCTTTATTTTCTGGTTTTGAAATTGTTTCGTTCGATTCTGATTCATCTGAAGAACCATAGGCTCCTATAAGTGCCCCTAAAGCGTTATTAAAGACAATTTTGTTGCTCTTTTGATCATTTTCTGCATGCTCCTTCCATTCATTATCATCAAACACCTCGCTATCCTTCTCAGGGGGTTCATCAAAGAGGCTTTTGGTTCCCCGAAATGGAAACATTGCACCATTCCAGTCTGACTTATCATCAAGTAAAGATTTTGTGGATTTTGGTTTTTGATAACGAACACTTTTCCTTTTTACAGTTTTTCTGTTTGTAGTTGGAAGTTGTTTACTCTTAAGTGTAACTGCAAATACAAAAATATTATCAACAAAAAAGTTGTATACGTATGTATAAAGATAACTTACACCTAGTTTTGTTAGTTTTATCGAATNATATTTGATTGATTTGATTATGTAATAAGATTGTAGTTTACAACTGCTTTTTTTAAATATTAATTTTTATCTCCACCAAAATTCGTACTTAGTATAGGTAATTATTAATTAACAATACTCAAATAATGCCCCTCACAGGACCTTACTTTGATTTTACCTATACATTTTACTATACATACTACCGTATAAAGCTCCACGTGTTTGTTTATTTCTTTGCGTTTTTAAATTTGTTGGTATCTAAAACAATGGTATGCTTTGTCTAGTTATTAGTCAGCTTTAGTCCAAACAATTTGTTTTATATACAATAACAAATAATACAGAATACGATACGTATAAAGGTTTCTGTACCACAGTCTGTAGCGTATCTGTAATGTCGATAGCATAAAACGTATTCATGTGCATACGAGTTAGAAGGTGTGTTCGTGAAATCCCCGGTATTCTATTTCTACGATTTTCGCAAAAATTTATTTGTTACGTTTTTACAAAGTGTGATTTGGTGCTGTAGTTTTTAAATTTTCTGAAAATGGCCGAGAAAGGGTAAGCTGTTTGTAATACAATAAAAAAAGAGTACACGAAATATCAACGTCTTATATTTTTATCAACCCTATCATCAATGTACTTTCACAGGAAATATTTTCTATTTTCCACAGAAAAAAACCCTTATTACCCTCCGATTATGTATGGGAACAAAACATAGACAGTTTAATAATTTTTATAAAATTGAAAGACATTGAATATCCACTTATTAAGTAAGTATCTATTTAAGCCATAAATAGTATTTTAAGTGATCTCCTTTTTCTAAGGATTGAAAAAAATAAAGTATATCTAAAATGTGTAGCAGAAAAAGATAGAAAACTTTATGAAATGGATATAAATTTATATGAAGAAATTAATATTGGCAATAGCATATATAACATACAAAGTGATGGTATAAGGTTTTTCTTAAAAAAGCAAATATTGTGTCTCTGGCCTTATTTAACTCAAGGTATTCTTCATAAGAAATGTTTTTAATTTTTTTTATAATTTCATAATTGTTTTTTTAGATCATAAAGATAAAATAAATGCAAGTGGAGGACATATTATGGAATATTTTTTAAAAAAATCACAAAAAAATTATGTACAAGATGTTGTTGGAGTGGTAGATACTGATGAACAAACACCAAAAGAACAAGGTTCTGCTTTTTTTTAGTAATTGAATGTACATTACTACTACCTTATTTTGTTTCCTTTTTCTTTTCAGTATCTGAAAATTTCCTGGAAACACCAATGAATCCTATCTTAACATTGGCTAGTTATTCTAGATGTCTTGTTCATGTAGATAATCCAGCAATTTATAAAATAGTTGCAAAAGATACATCCATCACACTTAAAGACATTGAAGTTTTTGCAAAAACCCCAAGTAAAAATAAAATAAATGCAAATGTCTTTGCCAGCAATTCACCAAACACTTATGGCATCAAATACATACCTAAAGAAGTTGGCATACACATTTTAAATGTGTTTGTGCAAGGAGAGCTAACTCTGGTTCTTCTTACAGCAGCATATAACATTAATTTAATAAAAATTCAAGAACCAGAGGAGTGTCTTTCAGAGTTCCCTGTTAAATTTACAGGTATATTTCACAAATTCTTTTTCTTCAAATATACATAGTAAAAAATATTAAAATATTAAGCTCTTTTTTTAAAAAATATTGTTTGTATAGTCCTTATTAAAAAGTATACTTCAATTAACTTAATATTTTTTCTAGTGGATTGTTCTAAAGCAGGTGAAGGAGAACTAGAAGTATTAGTTGAATTTGACTTTTTGAGATTGCCCCAACATTGCAACATAGAAAAATTAGACAGTGGAAAGTATCAAGCTACATTTATCCCAAATCTACCAGGAGATTATTTTGTAACAGTAAAATATAACAATAAACCGATAAAGACAAAATTTAACAGTACATTTTTATGTCATGTTTTAAAACATGTTTTCTTTACTGCAAAATTTCCTAAAGAAACAATATTTTCCACTGGCAATTATTACTCCTTCTCTGTTGTTGCAGTAGAAGCACCTTTAATTTCTTCAAAAGATATAAAGGTGCGCATTGAGGGACCTACAGGCGAATTTTTTGCCAGAGCTGCAGCACATTTTTTTCTTCCAAACTTTTTTGAAGTGAGCTTTCTTCTTAAGGAACCAGGCACTTATACTATACACACAAAAGTAGTAGGAGACCCAACTGGAGAATATCGCCAAGAAATTAAAGCATATAATGATTTTGGTTATTCCATGGAAAATGCAACACTTTATATTCCAAATCGGCACAGTTACTCCAATAAACTGTTACATTTAGCAAAAATTCCTGTAAAACAAGTTGCTACATTTTTTATCAAGTATACAAAAGTAAATGAGAATGGGAACAGAATAACTTTGGAAGTTACAATAAGAGATCCTGAAAACAAGCAAATACCAGTCTTAGTGACAGCATATGGTCCTGTTTCTGTAGTGGAATTTACTCCCAGGATACTTGGATATCATATAATTACTGTTAATTACAACGGTCAAGTTGTCACAGGGACACCCTTTAAAGCAAAAGTTATTTCCAATAAAAAAGGAAAAGGAACGAAATAGTGTTCAATCTTTGTCACTGAACATTTTTTATCATTGTTTTTTAATCTTATAATTAGTATATTAAATGTTTTACTGTTAAATCCAGCATACTATATATTTTTAAAAAAATCGAAGTTTTTGTCTTTGTATTTTTATGTTTTTAATAAATAATATTGCACGTTTCTATTATTTTATGTACCCTTCAGAATTGTAATTATCTTTGTACAGTCACGCTTAACGAAAAAAACTCTAGTGAATAGTGAATGTCTTTTTTTAAGAATAAATCAATAGAGGTAACAACTATAGTATTATCAGCTCAGAAAACAGCGATATAAATAAGTAAAGCAAGCTTACAAAAATTGTACAGGAAATTTACAAGTTATCTTACAATTGCAATGCATTTTTTGGCCACTTATTAATAAATAATTGTAGAACTTTATAGTATTTTCTATGTTTATGAACAGAAAACTTTCATTTTATGAATAATTGTAAGATAGTATGATTTACTTCTTAAAATAATAGAATGCATAAAAATATTATGAATAGTTAAACAAATATTTTATGATAGGTGGTATACAAACAGTTAAGTACTGAGTAAAATCTTGTATTTGTATAAGATTATACTTAACACTCAACTTTATGCATACTATCAACTATTATTTACACTAGATATAAATGTAAAAACACAAATTACTTTTTCTAATGGTCTCTCAATGAAAATGGTATAAATTGAGACGTTATATTGGATATGAAAATGTAGAAAATACTGATCATTTTACTCTTAATAGAAACACCATACCAGTCCTTAAATGACAAAAAACCATATCACAAATAATTGAATTCATTCGAATGTTTCTCAAAATCTTCCATTCTAATCAACAAGCACAAACCGTAATCCTCAAACAGTAGTGCAAACATTAAAAAAATTACACTGTTCTTTGTAACTTGTTTTTCAGTTAATTGTCTTTAGCCTGTTCAAATGGTATTTTAACAACTTACGACGATCTTTTGTCCAGTTTCAAAAGAACCATCAGCTAGGTGGAATAGCCTTAGCGAGCTGTCCATTTCCGATGCTAGGTCGAGATTTTCCAAACCATGACATTTTCCATTCCAATGTGTCCTGAATTAATTTTTCTTCCTCAGGCGAAAACTTCAAAAGTGTTGCTATCGCCCTGATCAAATGGATCGCCTCGTACTCTCTACTGGTCAAGAATTTTATCACCACGTGTTTAAGATATTTGAAGTTGATGTCATCTTCGTCCTTTCTTAGACTGTTGTGGTAGTTTCTGGTCAAGTTTTGACTAGGTGCTAAAATCGCCACTGAATTCGAATCTGAGTAGTCGGTAAACGGATCTTTGGAAGGGGCACGTAGCTCTTGCTGAAGAGCCTTCTTCATGTCCAAAAGTCGCAATTGCAAAGTCTTTATATTCTAAAAAGAAAGGTAAATAGTAATGTAAAAGGCATTTACTTAAAGACAGGCTATAAAAGAGGAGTATATATAGCCATACAGAAATTGACTACATTTCTTCATTAAGAACTGACGGACTTAAACAAAATAAAAATTGCTAGACTTGCGAGAAACAGTCTTTATGCGGCTATTGAGACTACTCTTTTATAGTTATAAATAATTACTTTATTTTTTTCTATAAGCTGTTCCTCAAGTCTTGTGATGCTATTACGCAGTTCTTGCTCAATATTTTTGCTTTCCAATTCCTTGTATTTTTGATTTTCAGCGTCCAATTGTGCGACTTTGTTAGAAAGCTCGTTCAATTCTAGACCTTTTCTTCTAGCTTCTTGCTTGGCGAGATCTATTTGTTGCGATATTTCAGCATTTCTTAATAGGGCTGCATTTTTTTCTGCAGTAACCCTAAAAAAGAATAAATTAAACATTAATACATATAACATACTCTATAATTAAAATATATTAAAACATGTTGGATAATGTGAGAAGAAATACAAGAGTCATGCAAAATTGTATTTTGGAAGTCAGTAAAAAATAGGACAGACAGGATGATTTGGCACCTTTTGAGAAATGAAGTACTAGTTAGAGACGTACTAGAAGCAGAAACAAGAGTAAAAAAGGGGCAAAAGAAGACGTAGATTATATGTGAATTGTGGAATTTTCGTTTTTGGGAAATGCGAAGAACGGACGGAATGAAATTACGTTGTATATGTATGTATCTCTAATAATTCAATACGAGAACGAACATGGAAATAAATTTACCTGCTTAAAGTTTTCTGTACATCTAACGAATTACTTTTTTCTTCGTTTAATTCTTTTTCTAATTTAGTAATTATTTGCCTCAATGTGACATTAGTTTGATGTTCAGAATCGACAGATATCTTTAATTTACTGCGTTCTTCTTCAGTTTTCTCAAGCTGCGATTCCGAGTTGTCCAGGTTTTTTCTTACAGCCTTAACTTCCGTTTCCGCATCTTGCTGCAAATAACCATTATACACTTTAAAACAAGGATCTATACAAAATGACATTTTAATGTAATGACTAACTAATTATAAACTTAAAATATATGCAAATAAGAGAAAACAACAGGTGTTTACAAATGCAATGTTTTATTGACAAACTTAAAAATAAATAAAAAAAAAGTAACATAAGACGATAAAAAAAAATAAGTGAACTTATTCAAATTAATACTATAGATAAAGAACCCCTGCGTGTTGATAATACAACATAAAATAATGCATATCAATACAAACTGATAGTAACTGTGTACAGGAAATAGCAATACAAATAACGGAAATAAGATATTCAAATACAAAATAAGTTTCTTTTTTATGTCAGGCAAATGCGCAATTTTAACACCAAAAGCCATAGCCATCTCATAACTTAAAACAAATAAAATATAATAAGTTAAAATAATAGTAATAAATAATAACAAATGCACTATGTCAGGAATTAAACTTTAACACTAAACAGCCTCCTCTATTCTTTTTTATTCCGTTTATTTAACTCACAAGCTTTTGTCTTAAAAAAGTAATTTCTTCTTCAGATTCNATAAAATTAATTGCACAAGATTCTTTAAGATTACTTTGAAATTTAAGATAAATATGCAAATGGACAAGATATGTATTGGGTAACTACTTTTAGGTTTCAAAAGATAAATAAATGATTAAAAATAGACAATTTAAAAAAGCACAATATAAATACCTGAATGTCACTTAGTCTTTCCTCTTGCCTTCTTAGCCGACCTATTTCATTTTTCAATTTATCAAGCTGCTGACTCAGGTCCTTAATGATTTGGTTTTTATCAGCCAATTCTTGGTCTCTCTGAAGAATGAGATTTTTGATTTTCACTAGTTCCTGAGACTGAAAGCATTCCACTTGTTCTTTATTCTCCTTTTGTTGTAATATTTTATTTTTAAAATCTGCAACAAATCCCGTTTATTTAAAAATTATAACAGTATCCAATAATTTATTACCCTCTGCTAGTTTCAAAGCCTCTTTTAATTTTGATATTTGCTTATAAGCTTCATACTTTTCTTTTTCTAAATTTTGCACTTTCTTGTCCTTCTCCAGTGAGCTTTCTTTCCACTCTTTTTGTTTTTCTTCAAATTTTTTAGACAACTCTAATTCAAATTTTGCATTTTTCTTCTTTAACTCATCATCTGTCTTCAAAGCATCACATCCTTCGTCTTTGGCTCCATCTGAAGAAATCAAAGAATTTACACTTGAAGAAGATCCTCTTCCTCTCAGTGACTCGAATTTTTGTGTAGTTGAGGAAGCTAATTTAGCAGTCAATTTCGATATATCACTGCCAGTTTCTTCACGTATCTTGTTTTTTAGTGAGGCAAACATTTCGTAAATATGTTAGCACTACTATCACTGCTGCTACAAAAATTAGTTGCAGAAAAATATTTTAAAAAAGTTGTAACTTATTATTAACATATTGTTGCAAATTAGAAATCATTAATCACCGTAGCACTATGTACTTTCAATTTAAAAGGATCCACAGTTTAATTTATCCCAGTTGATGTAAATATCACATTTAAGAGCATACACCGCACATACTAAACATGACATAAGCCGCTTATCTGATTATCTCATTAAAATTTTAATTGTATTAATTACTACAACACATTTTTATCCTTTTCTTTCAATCTTCTGAATCATTTCTGTATAAAGCATATAACCAGTTTAATATAAAATTTGTCACATTGACGTTTTTATATCGAGTACCTACATATATCTGACAACATCGAAATATCATTTGCTATACATGATATACATTCAAATTTCATTTTTGATTTTATTTTTTCCAAGGAAAGTATGCTGCAATATTAAAGTGTTTATTTTTCTTTATGCTACTTATCACTGTAATTAGTGTATTTCTTTAACTGAACAAGTAAGTACGAACATATTCTGAAGAATTTTTCTTAGTATCATACATCGAAAATTAGTTAGTACATATAAAACTAGCTAATGAAGTTTGTGAAGTACCGAAAACAATTACTTTTTGAATTAGTTATTAAAATTACTGAATTGGATATTTTGAATTAGAAAAGGACAATAACTTAATACTACGTTTATTCATGTTCTTTTCTCAAAAAATCCACATTGTACATTATACACGATCAAAAAAAAAAACAAATACAGTAAAAAGCGCGCAGACTTGTCACTGTAATAAGTAATAACTAATTGTAACATCAATTACTTAAAATACCGTAATAATAATTATGAATGAAACTATATACAACAGGCAACATGCCACAACAGCATGCTAAAGTAAATTATACGCGACGTATAATTATTAAAAGTAAAAGAAAGAAATAACAATAATCGCGTAGAAAACTACACGCACTTTATACAATTTTTCTTTTTTTTTATTTCAATCGCAGCACAATTGTCTCACGTTGCATCTGTAGAGTAAGAACAACAGATCATGTAACAGTCAACTGATGAATCTCATCGAAAACAGATCAATCGGAATCATCCGAAAATAAATTGTGGGTTTTTGCAGACGAATTTGTTGAAGAAGTTGATGATAGCGAGGTTTTTGGTTGCGCTGTCGAAATGGTCGTCAGTTTAGGCGCAACAGCAATCAAGGAGGAGGTGGGCACAACCGACAATGCCATGTTGTTCGGGGTGCTGTTTCCTTTTTGCACTTTATGTATTATCGAAGTCGAATTCGTAATAATTTTCCCACCCACTGAAATGGAACTGTTACCTAGAAGTTCATAATTTCCTGGCGACGATTCGACCAATGTAAGCTGTTGACCGTTTGCAGTAGATGTCTGATAAAAAGAAATAGTTATTATTGAGTGATAAAACTTTTAGATCAATTTACTCAATTAAATTTACGAAAACTACTTATAAATCCTCTTATAATTTGAGCGCGACAATAAATAACTAAAGTAATGAACAGGGCTCTATGTTCGGGCTTGATGACCGTAGTTCAGGATTAGTTCTTCTCTTTCGGTGAGTCTACCGATGGAGTGTTTATAGGATGTTCCACAGATGTAATTGGTATCCTCAGGGAACGTAGCGAAGGCGTAAAATCTTAGTTAAAGCTAAAGAATCAGCTGGTGAAACGTCGAATAAACGATTCCAACGGTGGACTCACTGAAGGAAGACCAATCCTGAACCACAAAACAATTTCATGCAAATAGAACTAATTATTGAAGTGAATTGTTAAATACTACAATAATTGTTATGAAGTATCACAAAAGATATGCTCAGAATTTTTCAGTATATCAAATAGTAAACTTTTTCTGAAACATTTTCAAAACGCAGACTGTATCATCCAATTTAGTGAATTAAAATTACGTTTGTTTTGTGTTGAATGTTTTATAAAACTAGTGCAGAAAGCGTCTTCTGGAAAAGTTTCGTTGAAAGTAATTTAAAAATATTTATAAAAAGAAAAGATTTATCCAAATCAATAATTTCCACTTACTTTCCAGCTTATTGTAAGTGGATGTCCTTACATTAAATGAAATACATTAGTTTTAATTGAAAAATTAAATTCTTGTCAAAAATTTGGTACAATATCGTAGTAACCCAAATGCCTACAACTAGTTCTTTTTGAGATTTACAATTTTTTTCTTTTTGGAAAACGATAGAGATGCAACCTAGAAAAGAAACGAATTCTCCTATAAATAGACCACCTATGACGTACATAAATCTGAAATTTTTGTATCTAATGAAACTGTATAATACAACAGGGAATACAAGCATGGTTTTTAACTACTTTATTTTATTAAAAATTAAAATGTATCATTAAATTGTGAAAATATTTTGTACTAAAAGTGAAATGAAATTTATAAGTTAGTAAAAAATCATAAACTTTAAAATATCTTAGCTAACATATGAAAATAATTTATCTTACATTTATTAGTCCATGAGGTGAAGGCTTAAAACTTCCTCGGTTAAGATATACCTTTGTGGGTTTAGCAACTAATGTTTTCTGTAATAAATGCGATAGTAAGATCAACAAGACTGAAATAAATTCGATCATGGCTTTTCTCTCCTTTACTTTACATTAACATATTATTTATATTNCTGTTCTATTTTGGAAATCAACAAAGAAAATAACGAGGAAAAGTACCATTGCTTTGATTTTGCTTCTTCGATTCTTTTAATCGTTTCCACTTCACAAGCTGCCCTCGTTTCTTCAATGATTTTCGCACGTTCTTCTACTATACTTCTTTGAATGTCTCTTAGTATAGAACTAATATTTTTCTTAATCTCCAACATCTCTTCGGCATGCCTTTGCCTAAGTTCTTCGTTTTCTAAACGCAACTTTAGTATTTCCGATTCGGGGCCTTCAACAGTGCCAAAGTCTTTCAGCAATTCGACTAGCATACCTCTCAGATAGTCTGCCAGCTGTAACAAGATGGTTATTAAAAGAACAAAAGTTTTTTTTTATAGCATACCCTATGAGATATCGAGTTGACCTTAGCAGTAACAGGACCTGCTGTACTGGGTAAACCCTCGTCAAACTGAACACTCAGTGGTCCAGGCGGTCGCGGTTTAAGCTTCGGCACTCCTTTAGTTACCAAATCGCTAACGGCCTGGGATAAATTTTCTGGGATAATGCCGGTGAGCACGTCCCATTCTTCAGTGCCCCGTTCGCCATTATTGGTAACTGTGACAGATGCTGCAGAACTACTAACTCCATTATTGGCAGACGCAGCAGCATCGACGGAATTCGACGCTGTAACGGTTGTAGAAGCCGCTGTCGTTGTGTTCGTGGCGCTACTGACAATCTCTCCCCGCTTTTGAGCGAACGTATAAAAGTAGTTTGTTGACAAGGGCGCGAGAGAAGGTAATGAGTTCAGGATTTGTGATACTTTGGGATCATTTAACACGACAGGCACGACCACGTTTGCATTGGAAGCTACGCCCCCGCTAGGAGGGATATAGTTTTGTGAGTCCTGAACGTTCACATTTCCACGTAACGAAGCTGTTGTCACACAAGTATTCGAATATAAAGATGAGCTCGTACTGCTTGGATTGACAGAAGAATTTATGGGCTGTACAACGGTTAACATGGGGGGAGCAGAACCAACATTCGCACCGCAATTTAATTGCTGATTAGGAGGTACGATCGCTAAGCTATTAATAATAGGTTGTTGCGATAGGAATACAATACCTGCGGTCGTCGTTGTGGTGGTCACTGACGATGTGGTGTTTGTGAAATTATCACTTGGTGCTCTTGGTAAGAGCAGGCTCCGAGTGGGGGTCAAATTTCCTTTACTTATCGTGACCGTGTTACCAACTGAACTAAGACAACTACAAGATACGATCGGCAAGCTTTTGTTACTTGTAGCCAGGTGGATGGAGGAATTTGATGACACAGTATTGCCACTGTCAGATTTACGAGGAGTAATGTAAACGCCCTGGGAAGTGGCGGTAGAAGAGAGAATAGTTTTACGACTGCGTTGTTTCTGAAACGCCGCGAATGGTCGTAATGGAGCTAATTTCTTTCTTTCTGGGAGTTGTATTGCTTCCTCTGCAATATACAAAAAAAAATTAGGACTTTATAATTGTACATAAAAAGGACTTTCACAAATAACAACTAATTTTAGTTAGTATAACAAAGTTAAAATAAACTGCAAATACAAGTTTGTATTAGTTGAGCCATCTTATTTTCATATTTCTACAAATATCAACATCATTTTTAAATAACTTAAATTATATATATAAAAAAAATTAGGAGTGCTGTCAGCACAGGGCAAAGTCCAATTCTTGCTCTCTAACTATTGCTGTCACTGATGTTAATGCTTTAAAGCGCATGAATATAAACAATTAGAACCAAAATGTTTTTCAAACAATTTTTAACACAAAGAAAGTGATTAAACAAATTGTTCACAAAAGTGAATTTCGACCACTCAAAGCAATGGTGCTAACAGTTTCCAGTTCATAGTNTTAAGATTAAAAAATTACTTAAGTTTTAATATCGACTTGTATAAGTAACAAATATAAAGTAAAGCTTCAGGGACACTTCTCCTATGCTTACCTGACTACTACAATCTATAACTTAAAACAAATAAAATATAATAAGTTAAAATAATAGTAATAAATAATAACAAATGCACTATGTCAGGAATTAAACTTTAACACTAAACAGCCTCCTCTATTCTTTTTTATTCCGTTTATTTAACTCACAAGCTTTTGTCTTAAAAAAGTAATTTCTTCTTCAGATTCGGCTCTTAAATGTTTAACTTCATTCGCCAATTCTTCTATTTCTTCAGTAAGTCTTAGTACTTTACTTTCTTTGTTGTTTAATTCCAAGCAATTGCATTCTAATTCACACTCTAGCTGTTTAACTTTCTCTTCTAGAGCTTCCTTCTCCTTAATTGCTCTTCTTCTTTCGGCAGCTTCTTCAGCAGCTTGTCTATTCAATCTCCCTACCTACAAATATGAATAAAAAATTCAATATGAGATGAAAATTAAAAGAACATAAACATTAAAACCTTTCATCAATTAAAAGATGGTTTAAAAACGCTTTTCTCCCTCTCATTTTTAAATGAATCTTAATTTTGAACGAACCTGAGTTTCAAGTGAAGCAATTTTGTCGCTCCACGAAGTTTTGATGTCAGCAAGATGTAAATGAACCTCTTCGAGGCGTTGCTCCAACAGTTTTCTTTCTTGAAGACCGTTTGATTCCCCATCATTATCTTCTTCCTCTTCCGACAAACGTTGTCTTAATATAGATACTAGATCTGTAAGGTATCGCCTGTCCTCTTCACTTTTTGCCAATTCTGTAGCTAATGCTGCCATATCTCGGGCGCTAGAATGCCTTAAACTTTCCAAATCATCCTTGAAAAGACAAATGTAAGAGCAATTTTTAAAAAGAAGAAATTGCACGGACGATACCCTTTAAAATACAATAGAAAAGTATCAATTAATAAAATTACAACATATCTTGTTAATAACATGAGTTCTTGTTTGTATCATCATTTTCAAATATTTTACAATTAGTAAAAACAGTATGTGTAAATAAAACGCGCTTTAAGTTAATAGAAAGACAATTTAATAATCGTTTTCCCTACTAGAAATAAATTGAAAGGTACACTAAGGTATACACTGTTACAAAAAATCAGATTTAATGGGATGAATAGAATAATGATAGTAAAAGCTGTGCTGTTGCCATTCTACCTACTATAAGTATTCTTTATTTGCAATAAGAATTTTAATAAAAAAACTTTCAATCGATAATAATAATCATAAATAAACAATTAAAATTTGTATTTTGCTTTATTCTTTGAACTTCATGAGAGGCAATGAAACTGTTTAAATTTGTCAAACGAGATACGTGAATTAAAGCATAAAAAACGCTATTGTTTCGTAAGTACCATGAAATTAAGCTGCCCATGTTAAATGCAAATTCCAAGGACTCGCTCTTTAAATGTTCAACTTCTACTGTGTTCTGTAAAAGCGTTACAAATTTTAAATGTCCAATAAAAAATTTTAAAACTCGTTTTTGCGATTACCAATCAAGCAAACTGCAAATAAAGTAGACAGTACTTTCGCTAAGCAAAAACTCGAGTTCCAAAATTTATATTTACTACAAGCAAACTTAAAAAAATATATGTCGATAAAGAAAATTAAAAAGAAAACATTCAATTCATTATATAATTTTAAAATTTCCACTTATTAACTTCCTTCTTCTATACATTGCCTATATGAAAAATGCAGCTGCAGGATATTCTTCAGAAAAGACTACATATTTTCATAATTCACCCTGAATAAGGAGGAGTAAGTGATTTGCTAATGTGTTTGAAGAGACTGTGTATTAGGCAGTTAAAAGTAAAAGCAAAAAAAGGCAAAATAAGCACATACCTGGATAATAAGAAATAACTGAAGCTCACAAAACACTGTATTTTTACGATTATTCACGTGCACATTTCTAAAAAAAAGGTGTCAAAAACTAGAGGTTTTGAATAAAAAAAAAACAGTGGCACTCATTGCTGCACTTTGCAACCCGCAAAAGCAACAACTAATTCCCAGAAATATTTACATAAAAAAAATCTGTAACAGAACAAAAATTTTATATAAATGGTATTATTTTTGTTTCTAATGATAATAAAAAAACAAAAGCATTCTAAATTACAGTAGAAATTTTTTATAGCATTGATTTTTAAGAAAAAATAAAGGGGCGTAACAATAAAACTTGGGGAAAAGAAAAGGGTAGCAGGTAGCAAGATCACAAGAGATAGCCAAATATACTTATCTGAGGTAAATGTATCATACTACACGCCCAAAAGCTAAACCTTTCAAAAAGAGTCAAAAAAGAAACAATTGTAGAAGCTCAATAAATCCTAAATTGGGTTCAAAATGAAAGAAAAAACCTACGTGATGTACCTAGATATAATTGAGGCAATTCGAGGAAACACTGGAATCCAATCAAATAACAAAAGACATATATTGAACAATGAATATGAAAAAAAACTAAAAGTACCGTTATCATTATTCTATAGTACACCCGATTTTTCTTTTATATGCGTCAACCTTACTTATCTACAAACGGTATTTTTTTATTAATGTTTTAAGATTAAAAAATTACTTAAGTTTTAATATCGACTTGTATAAGTAACAAATATAAAGTAAAGCTTCAGGGACACTTCTCCTATGCTTACCTGACTACTACAATCTTTACATGAAATAAAACATGTTTTAATGTGCTACTAAAGTGTTTTGCAAAAATCATGTAATAGTTGAAATGCAAAGTATTTACCTGCATTTAGTTGAATTGTTTTAAAAAATATCTTTACAAATACATCAATTAAAAAAATTATGACTTCTTTATGCCTAATTTTTTTAAAAGTTGTAAATATCTGGCCGAATCAAAGTAATTTTGGGATATTGACCAAATAAAATACCCACTACTACTACTTTTCAAGTTGAAGTTGTTTACATATTTGAAGATTCCCTTCAAGCAGAACAAATAAAACCATATTTCAATTTATGAATGTTAAGACTGATATTACTGCTAATTTAATTTTTACTCCACAATCTTAAAAACAGAAATAACTGTGCCTTCTAAATCCTTATACAAATAAGACAGTTACTTAATGAATTGTAACTTTAATTTTCTTTTATAGTTTGCTGAAACAGTCATAAGATATATTGTGGGGGATAATACTGATATTGATAAGAAATGCTATAAAATTAATTGCACAAGATTCTTTAAGATTACTTTGAAATTTAAGATAAATATGCAAATGGACAAGATATGTATTGGGTAACTACTTTTAGGTTTCAAAAGATAAATAAATGATTAAAAATAGACAATTTAAAAAAGCACAATATAAATACCTGAATGTCACTTAGTCTTTCCTCTTGCCTTCTTAGCCGACCTATTTCATTTTTCAATTTATCAAGCTGCTGACTCAGGTCCTTAATGATTTGGTTTTTATCAGCCAATTCTTGGTCTCTCTGAAGAATGAGATTTTTGATTTTCACTAGTTCCTGAGACTGAAAGCATTCCACTTGTTCTTTATTCTCCTTTTGTTGTAATATTTTATTTTTAAAATCTGCAACAAATCCCGTTTATTTAAAAATTATAACAGTATCCAATAATTTATTACCCTCTGCTAGTTTCAAAGCCTCTTTTAATTTTGATATTTGCTTATAAGCTTCATACTTTTCTTTTTCTAAATTTTGCACTTTCTTGTCCTTCTCCAGTGAGCTTTCTTTCCACTCTTTTTGTTTTTCTTCAAATTTTTTAGACAACTCTAATTCAAATTTTGCATTTTTCTTCTTTAACTCATCATCTGTCTTCAAAGCATCACATCCTTCGTCTTTGGCTCCATCTGAAGAAATCAAAGAATTTACACTTGAAGAAGATCCTCTTCCTCTCAGTGACTCGAATTTTTGTGTAGTTGAGGAAGCTAATTTAGCAGTCAATTTCGATATATCACTGCCAGTTTCTTCACGTATCTTGTTTTTTAGTGAGGCAAACATTTCGTAAATATGTTAGCACTACTATCACTGCTGCTACAAAAATTAGTTGCAGAAAAATATTTTAAAAAAGTTGTAACTTATTATTAACATATTGTTGCAAATTAGAAATCATTAATCACCGTAGCACTATGTACTTTCAATTTAAAAGGATCCACAGTTTAATTTATCCCAGTTGATGTAAATATCACATTTAAGAGCATACACCGCACATACTAAACATGACATAAGCCGCTTATCTGATTATCTCATTAAAATTTTAATTGTATTAATTACTACAACACATTTTTATCCTTTTCTTTCAATCTTCTGAATCATTTCTGTATAAAGCATATAACCAGTTTAATATAAAATTTGTCACATTGACGTTTTTATATCGAGTACCTACATATATCTGACAACATCGAAATATCATTTGCTATACATGATATACATTCAAATTTCATTTTTGATTTTATTTTTTCCAAGGAAAGTATGCTGCAATATTAAAGTGTTTATTTTTCTTTATGCTACTTATCACTGTAATTAGTGTATTTCTTTAACTGAACAAGTAAGTACGAACATATTCTGAAGAATTTTTCTTAGTATCATACATCGAAAATTAGTTAGTACATATAAAACTAGCTAATGAAGTTTGTGAAGTACCGAAAACAATTACTTTTTGAATTAGTTATTAAAATTACTGAATTGGATATTTTGAATTAGAAAAGGACAATAACTTAATACTACGTTTATTCATGTTCTTTTCTCAAAAAATCCACATTGTACATTATACACGATCAAAAAAAAAAACAAATACAGTAAAAAGCGCGCAGACTTGTCACTGTAATAAGTAATAACTAATTGTAACATCAATTACTTAAAATACCGTAATAATAATTATGAATGAAACTATATACAACAGGCAACATGCCACAACAGCATGCTAAAGTAAATTATACGCGACGTATAATTATTAAAAGTAAAAGAAAGAAATAACAATAATCGCGTAGAAAACTACACGCACTTTATACAATTTTTCTTTTTTTTTATTTCAATCGCAGCACAATTGTCTCACGTTGCATCTGTAGAGTAAGAACAACAGATCATGTAACAGTCAACTGATGAATCTCATCGAAAACAGATCAATCGGAATCATCCGAAAATAAATTGTGGGTTTTTGCAGACGAATTTGTTGAAGAAGTTGATGATAGCGAGGTTTTTGGTTGCGCTGTCGAAATGGTCGTCAGTTTAGGCGCAACAGCAATCAAGGAGGAGGTGGGCACAACCGACAATGCCATGTTGTTCGGGGTGCTGTTTCCTTTTTGCACTTTATGTATTATCGAAGTCGAATTCGTAATAATTTTCCCACCCACTGAAATGGAACTGTTACCTAGAAGTTCATAATTTCCTGGCGACGATTCGACCAATGTAAGCTGTTGACCGTTTGCGGTAGATGTCTGATAAAAAGAAATAGTTATTATTGAGTGATAAAACTTTTAGATCAATTTACTCAATTAAATTTACGAAAACTACTTATAAATCCTCTTATAATTTGAGCGCGATAATAAATAACTAAAGTAATGAAGAGGGCTCTATGTTCGGGCTTGATGACCGTAGTTCAGGATTAGTTCTTCTCTTTCGGTGAGTCTACCGATGGAGTGTTTATAGGATGTTCCACAGATGTAATTGGTATCCTCAGGGAACGTAGCGAAGGCGTAAAATCTTAGTTAAAGCCAAAGAATCAGCGGGCGAAACGTCAAATAAACGATTCCAATGGTGGACTCACTGAAGGAAGACCAATCCTGAACCACAAAACAATTTCATGCAAATAGAACTAATTATTGAAGTGAATTGTTAAATACTACAATAATTGTTATGAAGTATCACAAAAGATATGCTCAGAATTTTTCAGTATATCAAATAGTAAACTTTTTCTGAAACATTTTCAAAACGCAGACTGTATCATCCAATTTAGTGAATTAAAATTACGTTTGTTTTGTGTTGAATGTTTTATAAAACTAGTGCAGAAAGCGTCTTCTGGAAAAGTTTCGTTGAAAGTAATTTAAAAATATTTATAAAAAGAAAAGATTTATCCAAATCAATAATTTCCACTTACTTTCCAGCTTATTGTAAGTGGATGTCCTTACATTAAATGAAATACATTAGTTTTAATTGAAAAATTAAATTCTTGTCAAAAATTTGGTACNCTTTTGGTTTTCCTTTATCAGTTTTAGCCGACATGTCTTCAAAATTGTCTTGTACCCTCAATAGGTTCATTAGCTTAGATCTTTCTTCAGTTTTTGAACGAGTACGAATCTCCTTGGGTTTCTTTTCGTGAATAATTTTGTCTTTCTCGGATATATTTAACGCCGACATGTATTTTCGTTTAGCCTCGATGTCTTCAACCTCTTCATCCGAAGATGATGGTTCACTTTTAATCGTAATTGATTCAGACTCTCCTTCTATTTGTGTCTGGTCATTCTCTTCCGGGGATTTGTTTTCTTTAGAATTATTAACAGTATCAGACACTAAGCTGGGTTCTATTTGTGAATTTTCTTTTAGTACTTTGCCCAAAGTTTTTTTCTCATTTGACTCAAACTGCTTGTGTTGATTTTCATTCTGTTTTAAAATCTAATGAAACTGTATAATACAACAGGGAATACAAGCATGGTTTTTAACTACTTTATTTTATTAAAAATTAAAATGTATCATTAAATTGTGAAAATATTTTGTACTAAAAGTGAAATGAAATTTATAAGTTAGTAAAAAATCATAAACTTTAAAATATCTTAGCTAACATATGAAAATAATTTATCTTACCTTTATTAGTCCATGAGGTGAAGGCTTAAAACTTCCTCGGTTAAGATATACCTTTGTGGGTTTAGCAACTAATGTTTTCTGTAATAAATGCGATAGTAAGATCAACAAGACTGAAATAAATTCGATCATGGCTTTTCTCTCCTTTACTTTACATTAACATATTATTTATATTACAAAATATTATAGAAATAATGTGACGAGGAAACGTTATATTTAAATTAATCGTCTCATCTAATATTTTCTCTTTTTAGGGACAATTAAAAAAAAAATATATTTACCTCGTTAGCTCTGGCTGCTGTATATCGATTTATAGGGTTAGTAGATCTCAACATAATTGTTTGATTGGGAATTCTAATATGATTGGGGTTATTCCCAGCCTGCTGAGTTAACTGTTGTTGTTGCTGTTGTTGATGTTGCTGATTTTGAGTACATTTTGACATATGCTTCAGCCAGTGCTTCTGTTGACAAGGATAATCGCAATAACTTGTGTTCCAACAGCAATAAAACTGCGCTTCTTTAAAACAATTTGCACACCTAAAACAATCAAGTTTAAGACTAAAAAGTACTGTTCTATTTTGGAAATCAACAAAGAAAATAACGAGGAAAAGTACCATTGCTTTGATTTTGCTTCTTCGATTCTTTTAATCGTTTCCACTTCACAAGCTGCCCTCGTTTCTTCAATGATTTTCGCACGTTCTTCTACTATACTTCTTTGAATGTCTCTTAGTATAGAACTAATATTTTTCTTAATCTCCAACATCTCTTCGGCATGCCTTTGCCTAAGTTCTTCGTTTTCTAAACGCAACTTTAGTATTTCCGATTCGGGGCCTTCAACAGTGCCAAAGTCTTTCAGCAATTCGACTAGCATACCTCTCAGATAGTCTGCCAGCTGTAACAAGATGGTTATTAAAAGAACAAAAGTTTTTTTTTATAGCATACCCTATGAGATATCGAGTTGACCTTAGCAGTAACAGGACCTGCTGTACTGGGTAAACCCTCGTCAAACTGAACACTCAGTGGTCCAGGCGGTCGCGGTTTAAGCTTCGGCACTCCTTTAGTTACCAAATCGCTAACGGCCTGGGATAAATTTTCTGGGATAATGCCGGTGAGCACGTCCCATTCTTCAGTGCCCCGTTCGCCATTATTGGTAACTGTGACAGATGCTGCAGAACTACTAACTCCATTATTGGCAGACGCAGCAGCATCGACGGAATTCGACGCTGTAACGGTTGTAGAAGCCGCTGTCGTTGTGTTCGTGGCGCTACTGACAATCTCTCCCCGCTTTTGAGCGAACGTATAAAAGTAGTTTGTTGACAAGGGCGCGAGAGAAGGTAATGAGTTCAGGATTTGTGATACTTTGGGATCATTTAACACGACAGGCACGACCACGTTTGCATTGGAAGCTACGCCCCCGCTAGGAGGGATATAGTTTTGTGAGTCCTGAACGTTCACATTTCCACGTAACGAAGCTGTTGTCACACAAGTATTCGAATATAAAGATGAGCTCGTACTGCTTGGATTGACAGAAGAATTTATGGGCTGTACAACGGTTAACATGGGGGGAGCAGAACCAACATTCGCACCGCAATTTAATTGCTGATTAGGAGGTACGATCGCTAAGCTATTAATAATAGGTTGTTGCGATAGGAATACAATACCTGCGGTCGTCGTTGTGGTGGTCACTGACGATGTGGTGTTTGTGAAATTATCACTTGGTGCTCTTGGTAAGAGCAGGCTCCGAGTGGGGGTCAAATTTCCTTTACTTATCGTGACCGTGTTACCAACTGAACTAAGACAACTACAAGATACGATCGGCAAGCTTTTGTTACTTGTAGCCAGGTGGATGGAGGAATTTGATGACACAGTATTGCCACTGTCAGATTTACGAGGAGTAATGTAAACGCCCTGGGAAGTGGCGGTAGAAGAGAGAATAGTTTTACGACTGCGTTGTTTCTGAAACGCCGCGAATGGTCGTAATGGAGCTAATTTCTTTCTTTCTGGGAGTTGTATTGCTTCCTCTGCAATATACAAAAAAAAATTAGGACTTTATAATTGTACATAAAAAGGACTTTCACAAATAACAACTAATTTTAGTTAGTATAACAAAGTTAAAATAAACTGCAAATACAAGTTTGTATTAGTTGAGCCATCTTATTTTCATATTTCTACAAATATCAACATCATTTTTAAATAACTTAAATTATATATATAAAAAAAATTAGGAGTGCTGTCAGCACAGGGCAAAGTCCAATTCTTGCTCTCTAACTATTGCTGTCACTGATGTTAATGCTTTAAAGCGCATGAATATAAACAATTAGAACCAAAATGTTTTTCAAACAATTTTTAACACAAAGAAAGTGATTAAACAAATTGTTCACAAAAGTGAATTTCGACCACTCAAAGCAATGGTGCTAACAGTTTCCAGTTCATAGTGACTGATAAGGGGGAAGAACTAATGTAAATTTAAAAAAAATATTTTACTTACTTTCGTGTGTAACACTATAATGGGACGCTACGTCATTGATGGTGCGGGATAAATTATCTGTTTTTCTCTGTATAGTTTCTGTAGTGTTTCCTTTTGGTTTTCCTTTATCAGTTTTAGCCGACATGTCTTCAAAATTGTCTTGTACCCTCAATAGGTTCATTAGCTTAGATCTTTCTTCAGTTTTTGAACGAGTACGAATCTCCTTGGGTTTCTTTTCGTGAATAATTTTGTCTTTCTCGGATATATTTAACGCCGACATGTATTTTCGTTTAGCCTCGATGTCTTCAACCTCTTCATCCGAAGATGATGGTTCACTTTTAATCGTAATTGATTCAGACTCTCCTTCTATTTGTGTCTGGTCATTCTCTTCCGGGGATTTGTTTTCTTTAGAATTATTAACAGTATCAGACACTAAGCTGGGTTCTATTTGTGAATTTTCTTTTAGTACTTTGCCCAAAGTTTTTTTCTCATTTGACTCAAACTGCTTGTGTTGATTTTCATTCTGTTTTAAAGGAGTAACAGTAGTCTTTTTGTTTTGTCGAGGTTCTCTATTGGTGACAGTACTTTGTTCACCGTTAACATTTTTGCCCTCTTGAGACGATGATTTATTCTGTAAGTCTTTCAATCTAACAACTTTAACAAGTCTTTTAGGTCCCTTAATACCTGAAGATTTATTAATTAATTTCTCTTTACATTTTGTCGAAGGTTCGCAATTTTTTATAGAAAACGTGTTCACAGAAGAATGAATTACGTCTTTGAAAATATCCTCATCCATTTTTTCAATTTGTTCATTATTATCGTCACTATCTTCGTTATCGTCACCTTCGCCGCTATCGGCTGGTTGTGGGACAGTTTTCGTAATTTCAGGAAGAAACGATTTTATTTCGTCTTCTTTTGTTTTTCCGTCTACAGAGATGCAATTATTATCACCTTTAACATCATTTGCGTCTTCCTTTTCATTCGATATCGGCTTTTTTGAATCACCGACAACAACTTCAGCGCATTCCAAATTGAACTCGGGCAATGTTTCGATAACTAAACTGTGTAATTTTCCTGAATTATTATGTTTAGAAGCATCGTCCCCTTTATTAATTTTAGTAACATCAGAAGCTTCATTAACTTTCGATGATAATTTATTTACGGCATTATTAACATCTAGATCATTGTTATTTATTTTATCTCCATCATTTTTACAAGATTTTGCTGACCTTTCAGAATCGCTAGATCCATGTCCAAACTTTTGCATTAATTTATCAGCAATACTAATTTTATTTTGAGGCGAAATAGTAAACTCTTTGTTCTCATTACCTGATATATTTAACTGCACAATTGGTTTTCGCTTACTTTCGCTGTTTGAGCTGCCATTGCTACTTTCAGAAAAGTCAGAATATTTACTAGAGGACAGTTCAGTGCCGACATCAGAAGACACTACTTCCGAAATGCTCATAATGCCGGTCTCATTGTCATTGCCTAGCGTTATTTCCATGTTTTCCGCGATATCAACGCGATTTATTTTGTCAGACAAATTTGAGATGCGGCTTGAATCACTTTTTACGCTTATATCACTGTTACGACGCGATTTTTTCATGGGTGTTTCTGAAACCATTTCGTCGGTAGTTGTACGTTTTTTCGAAGTATCACCAATTTGCTTAGGGGGCGTAGTTTTGTTCTTTCCTATACAAAATATAATAAGAATATATCACTTTGATAAGATTTAATAAGAGAATGAGTTACTTTGAAAATGAGCACTAATTAATTATATTGTTAGCTTTAATAATCGTTAATGTAATGATCCACAGCATAGATGTAAAAACTTATACTAAGAACGCCATTTGTACCTTTTTATTAAGAATCTATAAAAACAAATTTATTACACGTACCTATGACGTTGGTAATTCCTGACTCTGATTTTTTGGGTTTGCTAGCATCCATTTCAGAACTTCTTTTGATATCATCAGGGGTATTGGCTTGCGTTTCATGATCATCATCCTGCTTTGGAGATGACTCCTGACTTTTCATCATTTTCGCACTGTTCTTCGCTATCTGCTCTCTTCTGTCAGCATCCAGTTTGGGCTCCATATCATCATCTTCAGAGCCGTAACCCTCAAAATTTTTACTGTTGTTCAAATCGTGGGCTTCTTTGCTATCTTCTCTCTTCGTGATACGAGACTTAGGAGATTCGGAATTTTTTCTTTTAGCAGTTAATGAGAAACTCATACTGGAAGTACTGCTGTCAGGGTTATATTGAGGCAGAAATACTTTAAGCTGTTTGATTTCTTCATCAGGAATAAATGGAGTGCGGTAAGGGGCATAGCAAAACTCTCCATATACTTTCTTTAAATTTTCTATGTGGATTTCTAACTCCTATAAAAAGAACAATTGTGAAATGGTAGTTTCTGTTTAAATTAAACCCAGAAACAAAATTTTGAGGAAGTAGTTATTAGTAGTAAAAAATGATAACCTTTATACACTCTGCTATATCATTCTTTTTTTGCTTATTGCAGTTTGGATCTTTTAATGAATATAAGAAGCACTCCTTGTCTGGTACCCAGGCTCTATCATGAGCTCCAAAGAATCGAACATCTACCATTCCCAAAGAATTTGCACGCATTGCCTTTGCTGGCCAATATGGGAAACCTAAAATAAAAGAAAATTATTGGTTTTGAATGAAACTAGTCTTTAATATAAGTTTATATCACCTTTTAACTTAGCCCAAACTAATATATGGGGTTTAGGACAAACTTCAACAAACCAGCTATTCCTTTTTGTGTTTGCATTTAAATAACATGAAGCACAATTTTCAATTTCTAACATTTCTTGTTTGCAAACTTTTAAAATGTTTTTTGCAATGATTGTTAATTTAGCTTGTGCTAAAAAACAGATTCATAGACAGTAAAAAACGCATAAAAACCCATTCAGTAAGAACATCAAAAATAATCTCAATTCTAACCAGTATTAAAAATGATGCTGTTATGCAGAATCCACTTAGCATCAGCTTCAAAGGCTTGAGTGCTACCATATATGTTTTCTTTTAATCCTTTCTCAAGTTTTGTGAGGTCCATTGGTTGAATAATATAATTTTTATACTCAGGAAATTCTTTCTCATTCACTGGATGTAGAAAAGGCTCTGCCTGCAATGTGATATATTAATGTGATTTACTAAAAACAATTTTTATAGTTTATACCCCAGACACCTGCATCATTCTTTTCAAAGCAAACTTAAGTAGGCCACAAAGTTGCTCTAATGATAAATCTTTCATTGATGAAGACCTGCAATTAAATCAATTTTAATAGGTCTCAAAAATTAATGTGTCTTCAATCAACCTCTCTTTTGTACTTTCAGCTTTCATAATAGATACACACTCAGGACACACCCATCTTTGAGGATTATTGACTGATTGCTTAAGACATTTAATATGGTATGACCTAGGGCAAGTCTCACAATACACATTTACTTCTGTTTTATGGCAACGCCAGCAGAATACATCTTTGTTCTAGAAAAAGAAATTTTAAAATAACAATTACTCTAATGATTGATTGAACTTTAAACTTGATGGTATAAAATAAAAATAATTACTTTGACTGGCTCAACTTTTAGCATCTTTAACATTTTTATCTTTTGACCATCATCATTGCTGGTGTGACTTTCTGAAGGATTAGATTTCTTTTTAGGGTTCTTTTGTATTTGAGGTTTTTCCACTTCAGAGTTTTCTATTGGAGAAGAACCACCATGTGAAACAACTTTTGATAGAAATTTCTGATGCTTTATTACAAATTCTGGATTCTGAGACCTCATTGCTCTTTTCCCTAAGGGACTCTCTGATCTATGTGTATCAGTTTTGTTCTTGTTCAATTCAACACTTTTACGCTTGTGTGCAATATTTGTGTCTAGTTTAGCCTCTCTAGATAAAGCAAGAATAGATTTTAATTCTCTACTCTGTCTTGCTAATTTAATCTCTTCTGAGTCACTTTCAGTGCTTTTTGTTTGTGTTTCATTATGACTACTTTTTACATTATCATTATTTAAATTATTTTCTGTCTGACTATTGTCTAAAGTGCCTTTTGTTTTATCATCATCAGGTGATCTTTCAGCATGGGTATCCTGAACCTGGTCAGCATTAGAGCTTTCTGGCTGGACGTTATGATCATTTTCTAAAAAATCTGCAGCATTGTCAACCACTTTCATACTAGAAATGCTTTCAGAATGATTTTCAGTGACATCAACATTTGCCACGGAATCGGATTCACTATAAACAACAGTGGTCTCACTTGTACCTAGTTCCAGAGAATCTGCCACTACTTGCTCTTCATCTGCCATGGTTCTTTGGAAATTAAACATAACTTTATACAATGTTTGCAGGTTAGAAGAATATATAAATATTTCAAGTCACTTACTATTGTCTTCAATAATTAATAAATCTGCTCACTGTACAAAATACTCTGGAACAATACCAATACTGGTTACCATTTTATAAAAAAATACTACACCGAGTGTAATGGACTATGATGTTGAATACACCGACCAATAAAAATTTAGCGATCGGGTAATATCGCCGTTAAGCTGTTTTAGTTGGCTTCATGCCATCTAGTCCTACTTTATTAAAATATTTTACTTTTCCTTATATTTCGCACCAGAGGGCAGCTCAAAATGACCCACCATCGTTCACATGATGATCACTCAAAGTCAACGCCATAGATAATAGGTCAACGCTTAGTATATGTTGCTTTTTTGGTGTTGACCGTGTTGATCGTGTTGATCATTTATTATGAAGTTAACACAATATAGGTTATATTATCTATAATTATGGTTAAAAGAATAGCAGTAAATAATCATTTATTATTTTTGGCTAATTTTAGGTCCGTTATCTGTCCAGAGTTTTAGTTTATTTATAGAAAGTTGTATATTTAATATTTGTGTGTCCAAATATCATTTTCAACATTATGATGACATTTAGGTTATTGTATTATTTATTTCGAAAAGCTCCGGTCACTAATTTATGCCTAAAGAATACTCATTTACTCACACCTTTAAGTTTAAATTTTAAAAGAAATATCCTTCTTAATTATGAACAAAGAAACTATTATAAAAACTTTGGTCCTCGACGTCCTGGAAGGTCTCCACTGATAAGTAAGCTATTGGTTGGGATTATTTTGTTTGGTCATTTTGCAGTATTTGTGGATTGGGAAGAGTAAGTAATTTCATCGCTAATACCTAATTATATTTTACTTATTCGTTTTACCATTTTTAGAGTGGGCAGAAGGGTTTTTCCTTCTGTTGATGCTCAAGAAGAAATTAATCAAAATGAACTGAGTGATATTATTGAACCACCGAAATCAAAGAAGCACCGTAAAGAAAAAATTGGATTTCGTGATCGAAAGGTATATAAAACTGAATATGTTGTACATAAATATGATAAATATGTTTGTTATTAGATAATTGAGTATGAAAACCGTATGCGTTCTTACTCAACTCCTGACAAAATATTTCGCTATTTTGCCACTGTTAAGATACCAACATCAGATGGATTTGAAATATACATGACCCCTGATGATTTTCTAAGAGCAATTACTCCTGGAATGAAGCAACCAGATGGTATATTGTTTTATTTATTTATTGAAAGTTATCAAAGAAAATAGAAACAAAATGATTGGCTATCAGTCTTGGTTTGATATACTTCATTTTATTTTCCCATATTTAGATAANATTACATTTTCTGATTACATCTTCCTATTGACTGTTTTATCGAGTAAGTCTACATGGCGTTGAAATGCACATCTTAAAAAATATGTATATGCATTTTAGCGTCTCGAAGACACTTTGAGATAGCTTTCCGGATGTTTGATTTAAACGGAGACGGTGATGTGGATTGTGAAGAATTCGAAAAAGTAGCCACATTAATTCGACAACAAAGTAGCATAGGTTCACGCCATCGTGATCATTCAACGACTGGAAATACTTTTAAGGTGCAAATTGAATGAGAATTAATTTTAAATTATTGTTTTCTTAATAATCAATTACTGTAGGGGGTTAATTCAGCTCTGACTACTTACTTTTTTGGTCCAAATTTGAAACAGAAACTGACAATAGAAAAGTTTTTGGATTTTCAAGAAAAGTTGCAGAAAGAAATATTAAGTTTGGAATTTCGAAGAAAAAGTCCCAATGAAGAAGGATTTATAACAGAAGCAGACTTCACAGAACTATTGCTGGCTTATGCTGGATATCCACAAAAGAAGAAGGCAAAGATGTTAAAAAGAGTAAAAAAAGCGTAAGTTAAAAATGTACATGTTTTCCATATTAATATAATACGAAAATATTAAATGAATTTGCTTGTAGGCATCGCTCTTACTAAATAATGTTTTCTTATTATTTTGTAAATCTCAGAAACAGGAATAATTTCTAAAATTGTTTTCATATTTTAGTTTCCGAGACCACGGTAAGGGAATTTCAAAACAGGACTACTTAGATTTTTTCCACTTTTTAAATAATATAAACGACGTCGATACAGCACTGACTTTCTACCATATCGCTGGAGCTTCTATAGATCAGCTAACATTGAAACACGTTGCTAAAACCGTAGCCCACGTTAATTTGGGTGATCACGTTGTCAACGTTGTATTTACTATTTTTGATGAAAATCGTACGTATAAATGCCTTCATCATTAGGTTCTCAGTCCAAAAACTGATCTGACAAGCACCTGCCCCCTTCCTTTCCTGATCCAATCATCACATTTCCCGAAAACTAGAACATGTCACATCGCTAACAACATTCTACTCCTTGTTGCTCCTGATTATGGATCTAACATGCTTAAAGCTAGCTATTAAGTCTCAGGAGGTGTCCTACCGTTCTATCTCTCCTTTTTTTTGTGACTCCCATATCAATATTATAAATACATTTTTTATTTATAATTTTAATGCAAAACATTCTTTGTGTAATAATACTGCAAATCATCAATTATTTCGATTGTAAATTAAATGTACATCATTTTCAGAGGACGGCCAATTGAGCAACAGAGAATTCATAGCTGTAATGAAAAATAGATTACTAAGAGGACTGGAGAAACCAAAAGATACAGGTTTTGTTAAGTTTATGCAGTCGCTTATAAAATGTGCCAAGGAAACTCGACCCGCTCTGTTAGATATTTAAAAAATAATTTGCAGCTATTACCTAGGATATTTTCTTATGAATACTGTTTATTATATAGAAGGTGTTCACTTTCATTTTCTAATTTTCATTATATTGATTCAATTAGAAATTATTAAGTCAAGTTTTAATTTTGATCTTTATTATTTTATTCACGAGATTTGCTCTCATTAAATAAGCAATTGCTTTGTATTCATCTATCAAAACAAACGTTTAAGGAATTAATAAGTATATAGCTAATGACGATTTGCAATTTTATTAGAAGTGAAGGTGCAAATCTTTTTTGAAATGAAATTTTAAAGAGAAGATAATTAATTGACCACGAACATAATGTTTTTCAATAAAAAAACGCTGCTTTCTGGTTACTTCTGAAAAAATGTAAAGTGCATTCAGTTTATGTATATGGTACCTCTGTATATGCCTAATTATTTATTTATAAATTGTTTGATGATCTGTATAATTTGGTTTTATTGTTTCTTTTTATAATGAAAAGTTTTG